CTTTTTTTTTTTGTTGCGTAGCCTCCCCGCAGTCTTTCTCCTTCTTCTCGCTCCTCCCTGGTACTTCAGCGCCTGCCCCCACAACACTTCACTCCTCCTYACCTCCAACCTACTCTTCTCTGCGCCGGCACCCGACAAAAATCCCGTCCGCGTTCATCCTCCACCTTCCCACTCTATCGCGCTATTGCTCCCTTGCTATTGCGCAGCACCGCTCGCCCGGCCCCGTCGCTCTGGCCTAACGCTCATCCCCGCTGCCGCAGGCACCCGCCTCCTTCGAAAGTAGGACAGCGGARTAAAAGTCAGAGCGCCCCGGCTCTTTCGTGATTTATCCGTGTCATCCTAGCGCAGGCGCCATGCGAATCCTTTGTGTATCGTTCCAATTTTAACGGATGTCCCGAAGGACTTTGGCCGGGGGAATGCCCCGCGACTCCTCCGAAGGCCACACGGCCTCCCTCTTGCACTCACGCACGCACCGGGCGAAGCTCGCGTCCGGGTTACCATGCCCCGAGTCAAACGGGGCCGCGCATAATAGTGAAAACAATGACTAGAAGTAAAATAAAATAACACATACATATAAAAATTCCTAAACAAAGGACGGGAACTGCCGGCACCCTACCGGCCCCGTGGACCGGGCCTGCCGCCGCACCGCCGAAAAAACTGAGGGGGATAGCCCTGGTGGCCCTCAGCCCCAATGATTCCTTCCGCGACMCCCCGCTGCGGTTGCYGCGCCGATGCCCTCTAACCTCGATCCCCGAACCTCCATATCGTCAACCCACTGCCGTAACCTATAGGGCTAAGCCCAAGCCTACAACAGCTACACCCGAGACTCCATATAGGATGATACGGCGCRGCCGTTCAGGGCCGCAAAAGCGTGCTGCGCCATTCCTCAGCCCACATCTACGCGCACGGCCACCGAGAGTCCGCGCCGGCCTATCACAGTCACACTGTCGCCATCGTTGCCGATTTCGTCGTCGGGGTCGTTTCTCCGCACGCGCGCTCGACTCGGTCAATATGTACCAATCAAACGAAAATATTCTTAATTCCTGCTTAATCAAAAATAAATAAATAATGATAATATCACCAAGCAAAACAACCGGGGTCTGGGCCGGCTTTGCGATCAACAATAGAAAAGAATCACGCACGCCTTAAACATGCGCGCCTACGCACTCGCCATTGTGGTCAACCATCCTGTCAACGTAAATTACAGACGCGGTCACGCCTAGCGTGGTATACTTAAATTTTAAGCCAAACAACTTTCTGTTTACTCGCAAAAACCAGGGCGGATACCCTTGTAAGGGTATTCGCGCCGACAGCGACGAAACATCGCGGCACGGGATCCGAGACCCTGGCCCGATATCGTCGACCACATCCTGGCGGTCCATCGCGGAACGCCCCAGGATCGACGGTGCTGAGCCCCTTTCAATTAAGGACCAATAGTGTTGCTTGCCTTTTGATACCAAGCCTCCCGGATGAGTCTACGTTGAACCGACGGCCCACCAGGGCCACCGCTCGAGACTAGGCCAAACGGCACCTAGAGTTAATGGAACGGTCGCTGCCCAGGCTAGCCCGAAAGCGACAGAAAATGATCGAACTAGCCCAGGGCCGACAGGTCTGGAGCTACGAGGCCCGAAATGGGAATGCGGGTCCACGGACCCAGTACAAATTAGGGGACGTGGTGCAGGTGAGGAAATGTGCTCGCCAGGGTAAGCTAGCGCCACGATTCTTCGGGCAATATCGCGTGATCGAGCTCGGCCCCAACGGCGTGGACACCGTGCGTCTCGCCCCTGAAGTCTCTGGCAACCGATCGACCCGCCCGATCACATGCCACGTGTCCTATCTTCGCCTCCTCCCCTCTACTCCGTCTCCTTCTCCCTCGATCTCTCCCTCTGAGGAAGCCGAGGGCGACGACTCTGACTCTCCGCCATCCCCCTTCTCCTCTTCCTCCCTCTCTGCCTCCCCGTCTCCATCACCATCGCCATGAGTTTTCTGGAGGAGAGAGCCCTCAGCGGAGCATCGCGTGCTCCCCGCGATCGATTGACGATCCGGCAAGTCCATCATCCCCGCCTCAGTCCAGATCTTCGGAGGCTTGCGCACTTCTTCTGCACGGAAGGCGTGTATGCAGCGGCGGTATTCAGAATCGAAGGCCGGCCTAACGAGGTGGTACTGGCCAAGAGGTGGCAGTTCATCAGCGAGCGGTGCCAGGTGTCAGTCGCCTATCGGTCCTCATCAACTTCAGTGGCGATCTCTCCACACTTCTTCCCTTGCAACATTCGGCGGTGAAGACGTCGTTGCGCGCGTGGGCGAACGACCTGGTCGCCGAGTGGACCCAACTTCTGGCTCGTCCCAGAGATATAGTCGCAACAACACGAGCGATCGAGTACGACGGTCTTCGGATGTATGAGCGCGAGCCGCCAGCAGACATCCCTATCCTCGTTCCCTTCCCACGCCCCCAATGAGTTGCTCTCCGATCTCCGTTTTTGATCTCCTCTCCACCTTCCCCACCTTCTGGCAGTCCGATATCAATCCTCGCCTTTCCTACTGTCTGAAGCCCCTCGTTGTCCCGAATATCCATCCTCCCCATTGGGTCCTGTGGCGCGAAGACTTCATCGAACTTTCACTGTGTCTGGTGGAAGTACGGCTGACGTGGATCGAGGATGAAGCGCCCCCGCCATGCATAGAGCGCCTGGAGCTGCAATTCATCCAGGCCTGGCGAACCAACGTGGAGGGAGAGCTTCTCGCGTTTCTATTCGGTACGGTACGGCCCGGTCATCAGGATCTCATCACGAAAGAGCTCACGATCCCGGTAGCACAGCTGGCGGACGATCTCCCTGTCGACATCATCTCGCAGGACGACGCGCATCCAGTTCCCCACGTACTTTCTCGCACATTGACACCTTATCTTCAGTGGTCGACTTGCGTAGAAGGAGCCGCTGAACGCATCCCGCCGTCGCAGCAACAATACTTGGACCACCGGACGGCGCGCGATCCTGCTTTCTTCAGGCATCCTACGGCGGAGCAGCTTGCTGCCATTCGAGAGGAGGAAGAGGAGGAAGAAAGCACCGGGAGTGACGAAGACGTGCGGGAAGAAAGCGAGAATAGCGACGAAGAGCTCGGCGAGGAGGACGAAACCCCCGGGGAGGGAAGCTATAGCGAGCATAGCGAGGGGGAACAGAGCGAAGAAGAAGAAGAAGACGAGGAAGGAGAAGAGGAGCACGAAGACGAACCTGCTGGTTCGAAGTGGGAAGCCGTGTCGGAAGAAGAACTTCGCATGGGCATGGAGGCTGAAAATCCGGAGGCGGCCCGCGAAAGAGAAGAACCCGCGGCCGGGAAAAGTAAGTTAGAATTCGCAAGCGGGGCAAGTTTGCACGTCTACGACGACCCAAACCGAGATCCGGAGCCGCCCCGACCTGAATATGGCGACCTCATAGCCACGACTCCGACCTCATCAGCGCGGCGACGGAGTTGATCCCCCTCCTCCCCAACCCGTCCCCCAGTTCGCCGACGTACCGATACAGGCGATCGGTCTTCGTCCCCGATCACTCTCTCGCTGTCCCCTTGACTACCTCACCCTCCACCAGCTCACCACCCCCGTCACGTTCCCCTCCAATCCGTTTCCTCGCGACACCTTCCGTCACTTCTACGCTGCTCGCCTCGCTATAGTGATACACCCCCACCCCTCCATTCAGTGCGCCGTCCCAGCCTTCTGCCTCCATGTCCTGCTCCTTAGTGCCGCGTGGCGAGGCCACAACATGATCGAGGTTTACTACGTAGTAACGGGGACCATCCCCGCGTGCGATGATCGCGATCGTTTCCTCGCGGCACGCTTCCGGACTCTCACTACCCTCTATCCCGATTCTCGGCAATCGCTTCCCCCGCTTTCACCGTATTGTTCGTTACCAAGAGCTCCCGGAGTCTGCAGACAGGATGGAAAGGTTCCTGCCCCCGCTACTCATAAGGCCTCCACCCCGCCATGCCGCCATGCACCGGCTCCCTTTTCCCCTTCCACTTAATTATTGGTACAACCGGTAATGGATGCCTATTGCGGCGACAGCACGAGAAAAATCCCGTCCTTGGATCGTCGAGAGCCCAATCCGAGGAAGTAGTAGAAGAGCAAAGTTGTCACGTTGGATGACGTCCGCACACGATCGAACGGTAAGTAGCATAGAGAGAAGTGCTCCGCGTGTCGATTGATTAGACAAATTGACACGTGTTAACAAGCAAGCAGGAGCCTGCTAATATTGAAACTTCCTGGGCATCACATATGTGACGCCCCACTTTCTGTAACGCGCGATTTTCTGCGCGGTTGCGATGAGGGGTCATAAGCTGGGAAGATTGGGCCAATTACGGGAAATCAGGATCGGTGGAGAATTGCACCTGTACCCTTGCTTTTTCGTCTTTCTTTTTCGTCGCTTCTTGTTGGATGACTCGGTTCGGAGCTGGGTGTGTCCTGGGACGGCCTGTTGAGTGATTTGCCGGATGGATGTCGGGCGCACCACCACACGCGCAAGTAATAAATGTTGACCTCGTTTCTTTCGTTTTGGTTTCGATCTTTTTGGGCGCGGACATCGCGCGGGAAAATTGCTTTGTTCTTTTTGAGTTTCCTTTCAAATCTTTTTCGAAGGTTGTCGAGCCCCGACGACTGTTGGAATTTCGGATTTTCCTTCTGGAACTTGTG